TTTGATTTATAAGTGTTTTCTCAAGCCTTCATAAACCCACAGAGGAGTCACTTTTCTTTCTTTCTTTTCTGATGTAGGGCGGTTGTTATTTACCATGGATATTTGGATGAGATCTCTGGCCTTCATCAGCATGAGGTGACATTAGAGAAGGGGAAAACAGCAGAAAACGGGTTTTCATTCACAGCCATATTATACATACCACATCAACTCTGACAGTAATATCATTCATTGAAACCATCACCAGTACGAGCAACTACACAACTTAAGACACGTGTACAGTCATAACAACTTTCCAAAATGATTCATAACTACAATGGAGGTGTATGTGGAGTGCTCCAGCTAACCAGTAAGGCTTTGCTTAAAAAAAAGGAATCCATCCCCTGATCATGCACTCATCAGTGTGGTATCTGTGCAACTGCATCGAGCTGCAGATGGCTTTTTATTTCCCAATCTCTCTGTCACCTCTTACTAATGAGGCGCTGATGAAAAAGTTCACCAAATATACCAGAGACACCACCTCTCTTACGTTAGAGTCACTCTTTTACACTGTAGCTGTAAAAATATGCATTTAAAAAAATTCTTAAATCGAATTTTAAAGTTTAAGAAGAAATCATAAATGGGAGAAATAATGAAAATGAGATGTCAACAAAATGTTTTAAAACACAATCATGAACAAACTGATTCTCCCTGTTACAGAACATACTGTAGTTTAAGAATTTTGTGTCATCAATCACGACAATTGCTTTTTTTAAAACAAATAATTCAATCTTCATATATGTTCAGAGAGAATCAGTAGACAGTGCTGTCCAATCACAGGCACAGGGGGGAGAGGATCGAGTTTGTAATCAATGCACAGTCCTGCCTATGGTCTACTCACCGCCTCCACCTCAGCCGGGTCGTACCACACGTTGATGTAGGGGTGCTGTAAAGCCTCGTCCACAGATATCCGTTTAGCCGGGTCAATGATCAACATCTTAGACAGAAGGTCTCTGGCCTGGCTAGCTGTGATTTGAAAATAAAGAAGAAGAAGACAAAAAACAACATCTGGTTGATTTTCTGAGGCAAAACTATTCCTCTGTGTCTAATGTGCCAGAGGGGGATTTAAAACATAATAAAGCAGGAAGGGAGGAAGAGAGATGGAGAAAGCAGGGATTAAAAGATAATAATAAACATCTGCAGCTTGTCAAAGGAAACTAGACCTTCACAGCAACTCAGTCACATGTCAGCTTTGGGAGAAAAGTGTATTATGACTTGTGTGGGTACAAATTAAAGTATGTATGCAAAGACATATATTTTTCAGGTTATATTCTGCAGGTTGAACAAAGTCAAGACATCTAACAACAATATCTTTGGCTTTAGGGATTTTTTTTTTTTTACAGGATTCATCAGGTCTAATACTTAATCGACCACACACTGATTCTAAATACAAAAGAAAATCTCTGTACGCATTTGTGGACTCAAACATAAATACAAAAAGGGAAATAGTATAAAAATATTATAAACTATATTGTGCATTATGAATGAGCAATCAACAACTTGACTCAATTTACAGTATGACAGTAAACCACACAAACTTATATTGACCTGTCACCACTGGCGTATTTCTATATTTGTTTTTGTCTCTTTTATTATCGTTTTGGCTTCTAAAAGTAAAAAAATATGCCCTCAGCATCACCAGTGGCTTGGTCCGTCAGTGTCTATGCCCAGTAGGACCTCTTGGAATGATCCGAAATCAAGAACCCTCCAACCACACACACTGTCACTCTCCCACACAAGCTGACCTTTACTATAAATATCTCTGCAGCAGCAGCGGAGTGAGGAAACTGAATTAAGAGCAGATAAAGAAAGAGGAGCCCTGGTGAAACCTGTTGCATTTTGCCTCAGAACCAACACATCAATATGAGAAGGATGGTGAATCTGTAAAACGACTCCTCTATCACTCTCCTCCCTGCTGCTTCCTCCTCAGCACTGTCTGCCACCTCCTCCTCATGAAGTTCAAAATAACCAAAGCCCAGAGGATGTCAGACTCGGATCCCGCCTGTCACAGTACAAGACATAAAACACGGCAGCGCTTCACCCCAACCTCACACTCTCTTCTCTTCTCTCTCTTCTCTGGGTTTCCTTGAACACTGTCACTTTAGCAGGTAGCTGCTGGAATACAAAAGTGATTCATGAGGAATTTCACCCGGCAGCAGCTTTGATGTAAGAGTGAGGCGACATGAAAAGCATATTTCGCTTCATTTCATTGAAAAGACTTTCCTCCTTTTTAAAATACGAGGAGAGACTGCACTTCTCAGTCGAGACGAAAGAGAGAAAAGATGTCTCAACGTTTAACGTGCGGCAGAGGAAATAGAGGGAATTCACTGAAAGGCTCCGGAACAAGTGTTCTCGTTTATTTCAGTGTAATGTGAAGGCCCAAAGGCAAAACATAACCACTTATTTCACCCTGTCAGCACATTAAAGATTACATTAGAGCTTTATTTACAAGAAGTTATCTTCTATTGAACATACTGTATTATTGTGTATGCTTTATTGTCTACACATTCTTATTGGCGTCTTTTTATATATTGTATTATAATATAATATCTTTATTATTCATTCTTTACTTCCTGTTTTACTTTGAAGCTTTTGGTTCTTTGCGTATCTCCACTTCACTTCCTGTCTTTGTTTGCTTTCCCGCCTATTCCAGTGACTCTCTCCAACCATTCACCTGTGTCTGGTCAGTTTGTGAATTTAATCTCTGCTTCCACTTCCTATTTGCCAGTTCATCTATGAGTAAGTGTTTCCATGCGTAGACCTAAAAGTAAATTTGAAGGACACATAAAACATGGTCACTGTTATCTGGTCACTTGCAGCTCCAATGTGTAGAACCACGACTCCTCACCTTTGAGTTTGTTGTGCTCAGAGTCGGCAGGGAAAAGGCAGTCGGGGAAGAGCTTGGGGAAGGTGAGGCCTGCGTACTTTGGCCGGTTCTCCACGTAGTTCCTCACCGTGGGCTGAAGCTTCTTCATGAACTCCGGTGAGGGCGTGCCCAGCTGCTCGATCACCTTGTTCCACTGGTCGATGTCTGATGTGGCGTGTCAGGATTAAGGGTAATACACACATAGAATATGCAGTATCCTGTATACTAGTACCCACACAATATTTGTGTTAAGGACAAGTTAAAAAAAGGATTATCTTTTGATTTCCTCATTAAAGTATCAGCTATATATAATCTGTTTTCCTGGTTCAGCTTCTGCAAATATAATAAAGACTCAGACCTGCTGCTGCTCATGACGAGAATATACAAGGTTTTAGTTTTTATTTTGATGAGTCAAGCCACAGGTACGTGTGTTTGTGTGTGCCACCGCATGTATCGGCTTGTATTTCTCTTCCTCTATTCACAAATATTCCCTCTTACCCCTCCTCATGCTCCAAATCAACCCCATCCTCCCTCCCCATGTTCTCACACAGAGTGCCAGTTGAGGTAGTTGGCTGCCAAGGCCACCAGAGATCCCAATTACTTCATCTTACTGGAACGCTACACTCTTCCACCTCCTTTTTGTCTCCGTTGCACATTGGCCGCGATCCACGCAGAGCTCAGTCTCTTATTCATAGCTCTTTAGCAAGTTGTTGGGTTCACTGGTGCCAGTGCCGTAAAAGAATGACTGTTGAACGGTGTTATTCGTGTTTTGAGTTTGTGCATCGTGCAGTTTTTAGGTTTACGTGTGCAGCAGAAAGTAAAGGAGCGGCGGGAGGTCAGAAGGATACGGTCAGTCCCAGGGAACAGCACTGTCCCTCTTATCACCTCTCCAAAGATGCAGCCCACTGACCACATGTCCACTGGGGACACACATGAACACACACATGTATATGGACGAGCACAAACACACTAACTCTACCTACATCTTCCAACCTCCCACAACCTGCAGACCTACTGCATTAACATTATACATTTAGGTTGCATATTTAAAGTATTTACAATATTGTGCCACATGCCAAATGTGTCAAAAATACTACCAGAATCTCCATCTTTTCTTTTCCTATAAAACATATAAAGACTTTTGAACTCAAAATAGACAGCTTCTTCTGCAACATGACAATATGCACTACATGCCATCATGTAGTTGTGCATTTCAACTATGCCACATCTGTGCCACAAACATAAAACACCTCCCTCGCCATCACTGCACGGCCTCTCGTTTAACACAGTGCTGTGCTAAGTGGCCATCGAACCCCGGTCATCCTGAGGCTCGCTGTGCTGTGACCTGTGTTGAAACAAGCCATTCTCTATCATTGGTTTTAAGATGCTCCGAAAGGTGCAGAGAACTTTGGCCATGTCGATACCTAAGGTCGAAAAGTCTATAAAGTATATTAAGATTAGTAATAGGCAGGGTACCAGTCCAAAACTGATCTATAAGCAGATAACAAAAGTGTGTGTGCCACTGCTCGTCATTGATCTACAGCAAGAGCGGATGAAGTGGAGGCCATTATGAGAGCAGAGACAGGAGCAGAGATATTGCAGCAGAGCTCATTGCAGGGGTTTCATGGTCCTCCAGAGCGTTAATCTTTGGGGGACTGCGAGTTCAGGGATGTAGAGGTCATTAGATACAAGCACCTGCAGTCGCACTTCTTATGTGTGCTGCTACTAAACTATTATTAAAGTATAGAGCTGGTGACATTGCATATTTTGTTATTGTCAACAAAGAGAAGAGAGAAGCAAAAATTTGACATTCATCCATCGGCCTGTATATATTCTGAATTATGAGGTTAATGTGCCTATTTGTTGCAACTGAACATATAGTGAGTTTGGGGACTATTTTCAGATGGAGACTATTTATGGCAGCAGGATGGGGCTTGTGGGACTGAATCAAAACCAACTACAGTTCCAATGTTCATCATAATAAAAAATCATGTCACCAAGTGCGGTGGTGTGACCATAGACCATATATAAAGATGGATGACTTGACTGCTGCCCAAAAGTGAAGGCAAAGCATCTCGTGGCTAGCAGCAGTATAGGTCATAAATCCCGCCTCCTCTATGTAAGTGGATGGGACATAGACCAAACTAAAAAGTCAAAGTACAAATTTTTTCTCAAAGATGGCTTCTGTCATGTAAAACAGCAAGGGATCGTGGGAATTAAAAATATTTACCTGACGTGACTCATGCGCAAATCCTGTTCATGGATGAGGTCATGTATTAAAACTTTACTCAGGTTATGGAGCAAACATCAATGAATAGTCATGATCAATTACAAGTGATCAATACAAACAGTGGAAGGAAAAAACAACCAACTGGCTAATTGGCTAGCCATCTTTTTTTTTCTGACATACATCATTTGCCTCGAGGGCTATTCTCTAATCCACTGGTGAAGCCGATATGATGCAACTAAAAGGCAAAAAACCGGAATGATATTTCACATTATCTTGGATAAAATTTGGTTTATCTGTGTTTGAACATTTTGGATAATGCAAGTGCACAAGTCAACAAAATGTATAACATAGGTGTAGTTGTTTTTACATATTTTAATGAGGAATTGAAGCATATTATATCTATCTAATCATATATCTATCTATCTATTAGTTATTGATCGTCATCCATCTCTTTATGCAGTCTATGGGTGTGGCATATTTGTGTGCTTTTACAGTTTAAGTCTATGGTAGCCCTATGAACCTGTTTATTGTTGGTGGTGGTCTCATTGGATTTGTAAACATGGTGTATATAGGTGAGCTCTATCATGTATTATCCTAGTTTCGATGCTTCCCAATCATAACAGTTTTAGCACTAACCTGTTGTTGCATATTAGTTTCCATTTGAGAGTTTCCCTCACTCTACCAAATGAGCTTCACTATGCAGATGCTCAGCATGAATACACCAGCTACTCATTATTTATTCATTGAAAGCTTAATAACTATGTCTGACTCACACATGTGGACACCCTGGGATAGCAGGATGTGCTTCACGTGTGCACAAAATGTGCACAAACCCAGTGTGAGGGCCTGTTTATCCGAACCCATCCAACTGAAAGAAGTCGTCTTTGGGGTTGCGACTGCAGCTCCCTCACTGCAGGAGAACACACCAGGTAGCTCTCCACAAACACCCCGAATAGCACACACTTAAATATTCAGACACACAGACGGAGAGGGAGGACTTCATCTCGTTAAAATGTGGGACTGAAGGAAGCTTTAGATTCAGAAAAGAGAGCGGAAATGTATTATGCTTCTTTTAAGATGTTATTGCTGGTTGTATTAAAAGTGTTAAAAGGAGATCTGTTGGAATTGATACAGACAGATGTGTTATGAAGCCAGACAGATGTGAGTGTGGTTTAGTTCACCTCAGTAACATACAGAGAACACCGGGCCCGGCACGAAATGACCATCAAATACTGTGTTGAAGGTATGTTACTTGCACTTGGCATTGAATCTTTCCAGCTATTTCTACTTAAATCCATCTTTACCCAAGAACTTTAAAGACGACATAAACTTTTCATCAAGTAAATAGTGTTACCATCTATTAACGTTGCTCTGTGTCAACAAGGATACAGTCCCGGCCAGGGAAAAGGATTTTGTGGCGCACCATTTCTCCCATAATGCACCCCACCGACCATATGTCCACTGCACGCACAGAGGTGAGGGAGCAAAAGAAAAGAGAGAGGAAAGCAAAGGTTAGTGACACATCCAGCTCTCGGAGAAAACAGTGATTAGAAACCTAGCTGTTATTTGGTGAGAAGGAAATAATTAATGAGGTCTGTTATATATATATCAATTGGACTAGAGGATGAGCAGAAAATACAGAAAGGCGTCTTAGAAAATCAAACTAGTGCCGAGAAATCCAAACCCCTGGAGTCGGCTGGTTCCCATCAATGGGAGAAATATAGCAAGCAGTTGCTTTAGAACTACAACTACAAGATGTTAGTTCGCTGCCATACGAGACAGCAGTCTAAGGGAAGAAGAGCTCTAATAAACTAAAGTCACTTAGTGATAGAGCTATATAGGAACGCTGTCTAGTTTCTATGAGCTGTAGTAAATGCATCAGTGGGATGAGACCTGGTGTGTGTTATTATTATAGAGACCGAAAAGACTCCTTCAAAGATGTCTGAATTTGTTTCACGCAAGCTCATACAAACTCCTTAATTCTCACCATTCTCTTTGTATCCCATGCCCAGGATAACCTCAGGGGCTCTGTAGTATCTAGTCACCACATAAGGGGTCATCATGAAGCTTGTGCCCGCGGTCCTGGCTAGACCAAAGTCCAGGATCTTCAGGGTGCAGTCTGACTTCACCACTATATTGCTTGGTTTGAGATCCTGAAGAGGTGAGAAACACTGACATGAAGAACTCTATGTACTTCAGTGGTTTACAAATATTCAATGTTTATTTTTCTGGTATATGTGACAAGTTTATCATATAATGTTGCTATTGTCTGAGGAAGTAGAGACATGACAGTAAGTACCCTGTGAAATTGGAAGGTAGTAATGGTCTAGATACATCAATTTGGGGTTATAAGTAAAATATAAACGTGACCATCAGTTCTCTCTATTAAAAAGACTATATCAAGAAGTCTGTTGATTTTGCACAGACTGCAAACAAGGGGAAACCATTAGCTTGACTTTGTCTGAATTTAACATTTCCTCTTAGGCTTAATTGATAAGCAGTATGTAATTTGATTTGTCAATACAATAATCTAAAAAATGATATTGTAAAAAAACAATTCTGTTCTCTTGGGTGTTGTGTGTTGAACTATAGGTCCCTTTTGAAAGAGTCAGGATAGCGGTTTCCCCAAGTTTCATTGTTTGCCATTGAGTCATGAAATAGGATTGAATCTATTTTCTCATCTGCCAGTGAGCAGAAAAGCAGAAACACAAAATGTCATCTTTAAATTCCAATACCTTCCATGAAACTGTAAATAGGGATTTTTTCACTGTCATATTTGATGGGTCGTGTTCAGAACTTCCCTGCTACCGACCTGGTGCCAGTTGTTACCTTGCACAACCAAAGTAGTCAAAAACATCTGGTATTAAACTCTGACCCCTGCAGTGTTTCCTCTGCACCACCAGGGGCACCCTCGCCTGCCTAATTTGATGCTTATTCACGTATCAGACATGTACCAGACAGATCAATCTGGAGTTAAACATGAAAACGGACGTGTGCTGCGTTCTTACCCTGTGAATAATGCCAGCTGAGTGCAGATGTTTGATACCACACAGCATCTGGTAGAGCAGGTAGGACATTCTCTCATGGTCAAGCTCCATCTGTATCACCTGGCACAGGTTGGCATCCATCAGCTCCATTGCTAGGTACCTGAGAAAAGGTGTTTGACAGGTTGAATGACTGGAGAGCTATTTGGAGAGTTGTTTACTGAGCTAGTTAAACAAAAAACATTGGTGAGGCAGCTTGCTCATGCTCCAAGCTGGAAAAAACTCTACCTGAGGACCTGAAAGCAGCCAAAAGTGTTGAAATCTTTCACCACAAACCTTATCTCTTCAACCCGGCCTTTAATTATGGTTTACAGACATCATTTCAATGCGTCTAGACAAAAATCAACTGAAAGAATCCAGAAAAATGTTTTATGTCTGTAGGGCTCTTTACCAAGAGCTTGTTCTGAAAGTGAACACACTCTCATTCACCATTCAGTCTGGGAACAGGATATCTAAAGCAGCTTCAGATTACACCGACAGTCACTCTCACTCATTACACTCCAGCAGTTATGTCACATAATGTAAAATTATTCTTGTCTCTGTCATTTGATCAGATCTTTTTCTTGCGAATGTAATCATGCAAAGAAATGTTAGGTTTACTCACACATCCTGGAATTCCTCTAATGATTTCTGTGGTGTGAAGACATTTAATAAACTGATGATCTGCAAGAGAGAGGAGAAGATGGAGAGGATCAACACACAGCGATTACATGAAAAGAGAGTTAAAGCAAGGGACTGCAGGGGAAAGTTGGTGACGACCCCGATGAAGGATGCTGCTGAGCGAGAAATGGAGAGAAGCGAGGAAGTGAGAGGGAACAAAAGAGCAGGGGATAAATGTGGAGACAGAAGAAAAGAGTGCAAACTGTGGGACGGGAGATTACATTGCTGCCTTGAAGTGCTTTCTGGTTCACTCTCCTGCCAGCTCCAGACATTTCTGGAGGCACTGGAATGTAGTCACAACATTTGCAGTCGCTCAACTCCATTTTGTAGCACAGGGATTTATCAGGGAACCAAAATAGATGCTGGGGTGCAGATAAAAAGCGGTTTTATGTCTGACAATAGATGCATTCCCCTCCTTCCTGCTTCCTGGATGACTTACATTTTTGTGATTGACGCATTTCATGAGCACCAGCTCCCGGTATGCCCTCTTGGCATGGGTCTGGTTCTGGAAGGGTCTGCTCAGCTTCTTGATGGCTACATTTCTGTCCAGAACCGCATCGTAACCCGCACTGCAGAAGAAAAGGACAAAAACAAAACAGATCAGTTGAGCAATTCTTCCTCTGATTCATAGCTGGATGCCTCACTCTGTGTCATTGCATGTCAGTCTGACAATCCACGGTGAATGTCATTGGTCACAAAAACAAAAAGATGATTTTTCACATCACCAGCAAACAGATGACTTTGTTTTGAGTTCAATTTTATCTGTAAAACGCCGAGCCGATAAGCTGGCCCTCACTAACACCGCACTCCAGCACATGGTTGTTCTGTGGTAACACTATGATTTTAGCAAACATGATTTTCACAGTTGTTGCAACATTTCCATGTTAACGGCAAGCTCCACCAATCAGAGATGTTACTAGTTACACTTGAGGATTATGGGTAGTGTAGTATTTCTCCTTAGCATCTTGAATAAAACACAGATGATATTATATGGACTTGTGGATTCTAAGGGAGCGTACAAACTTGTATCTTCAGGTAAGTCCACCTTGGGTGGTTATAGTGTTATAACTAATAATCAAAATCTCTATTCAGAAATTGAATGGGATTTTTATGACTTGGATCCACCATGTTGAGCTCTGTAGCTCAGATTGGGAAATGCTCTGTATTGAGAAATTCGATGATGCTGGAATTTATATATTTTTCTATTACAGGATTTATATAATCAAAATAGCAAAAATGGCTGCTTTGGGGTTCTGTTCTTCCATTCTGCTGACAGTGTTTTAATTCAACACAGAAATTCAAATAATCATATTTCCCGAAATGCTGAACTTTAATTAGACAGCTGCTGATCACAGTGATGATAATGATGCTACAACACACACCTTAATCACAAAAAGTTGCCTAGTTATAAACAAAAAAAGTACAATACAGTGAAACAGAGGGGAAATGAAAGTTTTACGCTGATGTTTTCTCTTCCCACAAAGTGGCTCAACCCATCGTAGAGGTCATTACAGCCGAGTGAGTTCTCTGCTGGCTCAACAAAAACCTCGGAGAACCTCTGGGATTTCAGCTCTTTGTGTAGATTTATGTTGGTTTTCAATGAAGAGCAGTATACAGACGAGAAAGATCTGCTATAAAAGTGCCACACGCTTCACATTTTCAGCTTCATCTCAGACTATGCATTCTCTGACAGATTCCCCAGACATGAGGCAGTAAATCGAGTTTCAGGGCATCTGCATGTCGCCTCATTGCAACACTAATCAAGACGATGTTGTGGTTTGTGGACGGCTGAGTGGGATGTGCAGCGGTTCGTCGTGTCTCTGTGGAGACTGCAGGCCAGGGATGATGTGTGACCATGGAAACAGCGGGGCGTTCATAAAAGCATTGATCCAATAGGGATTTGAGTCAGTCATCACTTTTCTAGCTGAGTGAAAGATGATGTCATGACCAGCTAAACTACTTAAAGCCCTCATCCCCCTCTTACGATGCATCTGGACGCTCATCCTGACTGAGCGCGCGGGTCACAGGGCAGAGTTGTGCAGAGATTGGGACGTTTGTGGGCGTCAAAGCTTGCAGAGTTTTAGCTGCAGAAGTGTAACAGGTTTTCTCTTGTTACCGTGACGCCAGGCTTCACAGAGTCAGGTTTGATCGCATAAGAAAAGCAGATTATATAATGACTGTAGATTTTTATAGATGGGGTTCTGCTTATTGTATATTTGACAAATGTTTAAATACATGTGATTATATCATCAAGGTATTGCTCTGGAGATAATGCACCTTAAGCACGTCACTTATTATTCTATCATTGTAAAACCATTTTTTCCATCACATTGGTTTGTTATATTTTTTAATCTAAATCAAGCTGCTTTTCTTTGATGTCTATAGTCAGAGGGACATTATATCTGTTAATTGCTGTGTGGTCTGGTTGTGGTAATACCGTGTCCACATGACACCAGATGACAGCTGTGCAGAGAGCCAAGCGACACACACCAGAGCAGGTTAAATTAGATTTGCACCGTCTCCCTGCCATCCATCCCGACAATATCCTTCAAATGGGCACGGTCCCAGCATTAGCAGCTACAGCACTACCCAAGCTCCTTTGCATGTGCTCAAAATTGCTTTGGAGCGGAAGGGGAGAAGGGCCGAGGGCATGGGAAGCCAAGGAAGGACAACGAAACCGGGCAAGTGAAGGGCAGGGAGGGGGGGGGTCTACGGGGGTAAGAGCCAGTGAATCTTCAAACACCATAAGAGACACTTGCAATTAACTTGGGTCGTCCCAGGGAGGGTCTCTGGGGAAGAGTGTATCACCGCTGTGACACAGCATTAACATGAATATGACTTATAGATCTGACAAAGAGTAAAGACGCATCCCTTCAAGTGGAGCCTTGGCAGTGGTTCCAGTTCATTCTGACAGGGAAGGCGTGAGATGAATTACAATGAATACCAACTCTCTCTGCAATCTGGATTAAGGATTCACTTAAATCCTGTTAGGCCGCTATGGCCAACACGTCCACATTCTGAACAACAGATGTGTCATCAGCTCATCCCACTAGAGAGGACATCAACTCAATCAATTCAAATATAATGAAAGGACAGACACATTTACAGCGAAACAGAAATGCAGTCACACTATAGTACTCCATTCTTTATTATTATCAATCTTTGTTTCCTGTATGTTTTTTTGTCACTAACTACTTCCACATATTTCGATACTACACTGATTTGCTGTTTTTAAAAGACCTTCTGGAGGAACCTGCACCTGTTTACCATTACAAGATTGAAGCCCAATAAACTGTTTCTACATCCACAACCTTTTTAATCATTAATGTTGAGTCAATCTATCCTTTGCAAACGGTTTCTGCGGAGAGGAGTCACATGGTTGCACGCTGTGCTTTCAAATGTTATGATGAAACCCCTCCAGAGAACAGAAAACGATTTCCCCACTGCCAAATCAACAGCATTAATCATGGAAACGTCACATGGTTTTCTGTAATTAAGTCATTCTATTTTACACTCCTTCGCTCCATGCTGAAAACAACAAGCAACATTTCACCTCCTGTAATAATCCCCCACAGCAATAAACTACAAGGCAATTAGAAAAACAGCTAACAGCTAAATTAGATAATCATGCATTAAAGACAACATAAAAAAACAATTCAAATATCCTAATATGATATTAAACAGGACGTAAAGGAAATGCAGTGTTGCAGTACTTACCAGACAATTCCCTGAGCTCCAGAGCCGATGGGCTTTAAATTCTGGTAACGTTTTAAAACTGTGAAGGTGGAGTCTCCCACTTCCACACTGTAGAACTGGTTGTCCACTTTGCTCTTGCTCATGTTGTAATGCTTGGCAATATATGACACATCCACTTGTTTTCCAAAACCCTGCAGAAAGCAAACAACAAGAGAAAAGAACACTATGGGGGTTATTTATGTGTTTGCTGACCTGGAAAAGTGAGAAAGAATCTGTGAGAACATCAATAAATCTTAAAATAAAGTTGCTTTCGGACATGTGCTGAGGTCCGGACATTTTCCTGAAACCTTTCAAATGGGCTGTAAAGTGAAAACGGAATTGTCTGAGTCAGTCACTCTGGAACTTTCCCTGCTGCCCCCTTTGTCAAATGTAACAGCGAGTGAGACTTGACTTTTCTAACATGCGACGAACGCAGAACTGAAAAAACTAAAAGAATCTTAATTTCTCTGGATGAAAAAGAGGTTTCATGTACATAGAAGACACCACTGAAGATGTCAACTTGGAAAGACAATGAGATTCAAGAGCATTTGGTTGTGTCGATGTGCTGTAAACAAAATGAGGGATTTCCGCAGCAGAATTTATACGTTATGTCCTTCCACTCCTCGCCTGTACATTTGTTGTGAAGGCGTCTGACCAGGACAATCCCCTGCTACATAGCTAAAAGGCAAAGTTAGGAAAATGTCCAGACCTAATTTTTCATACATTTCAGAGTGCATATCTGAAAACAGGGTGGGTAACATTCATAAAGTAAAAAACGTATTACCTCCGCCAAGGATTTCATGTTTTCTCCTTTATCTGTTTGTTTTTTGGCAGGATAACCAAAAATAAAGGTGAGGAGGCGGGAATGTTTTATCATTTTCTTTAACAATGTGAGATGGGGCATTTTTCCATATATTTGCCAATTTCTCAGGGAAGACTTCATAGATATAGATTTGCTGGTGCTAGCGGAGTTAAATGTGGTTTCAGAAGGGGACTCTTGAGCCTTGGTGGAGGTATGCGCTCTACTGACTCACTCTCTTAACTAGATATTCATATATTTATGGGAAGAGATATATTTATGGGAAGAGGACAGAGGAGTCGCACAAATGATGCCACAACAAAAATATCACTTAATTACAGACTGGGTAATTACAACACAGCCCACAAACCAAACAAATAGAGTCGTACTACTGTGTGTTACTAAAGACATTTTACATACTGTATGTGATGTAACATACTAAAATATAACATGGCAGAGAAGTTGCTTTTACTGTGCAGCCAGCGGTAGCAACAGTGGCTACGAAACGTCCAGCTCGACGTGCACGTGTGTCGCACACAACCCATGCAAAGCGACTTAATAAGTTCGAGGTACAGTGGAATAGCCTGTAGCTTTAGCCTGTAGCACAACACAATCCTCACACCCAGGCCTGTGATGCAGACTGCAGAGTTTATGAAATGACATCCCCGCGGGAGATTTGCATTTACGCTGCCACATCTCAAGAGGAGACGGCGATTAAAGGAAGATACTTTGCCTTTTTGTCTTGTGCAGAGATCTCAGTTCCAGATAAATGGAACCAAGGTCTAACTGAATTATTTTTAGCTTTGCTATGGTCTAGACAATATTTTCCTTTAAATATTTAAACCAGAGAGCCTCATCCCAAGCGGAAACCTTTTTGCATTTAAAAAAATTATATTGTTTTTTGTCTTAAGTACAGTTTGCTGACGTTTAAAAAAGACATGCACAACCGTGTACACAACACATAGAATATAGAGCAATGAAGGGGAAAGGTAAGGGAATGTATACTGTACCTTTTTTACCTGTAAGGAACACACACCTGACAAAAGGCTATCTTCACATCCAGGATTGGTTGGCTGCAGTTATATAAGAAATGTCTGCTCATAAATACCTGGAAGACAGAGGAGAGAGTGGAAATCAGAGTGAGTGTGGTGTCGGCTTCAGTAACGGGAAGTTACAGTATATGAGCAGCAACTTATTTCATTGTATATGATGGAAACTGAAGTGACCACACACATTCAATGTACTACTGTCAGGGTGAACCCAATACATTTAATATACAATACATAGGTTTAATTTATCACAGTTTTGTTTTGTTTATGTTTCCACACATAAAAACTACCTCAAATGACAGAGACCAGCTTTTCATTGTACTTTTTAATTTGGCCCATGTCCCACCTACTAACATGGAGGAGGTGGAGTTTATGGCTTCCCTTTTTGGGGAGCAGTTATGTCCATTTTTTTAATACAATCTAACATGTTACAGTTTATATAATTAACTTGTGGGCTTTAGAGGTGCATGTGAATTTGGGTCCAGACTTATGCTAAGCTAACCAACCGCTGTCTGCAGCTAATGACAATATAGTCCTTTAGAAAAAACTGCAAGCTTTGAAACCAGTGTACATTTACATCTTAATTGTTTATTGATTATTCATGCTAATCAAACAAATATGACATTTGTACTTTTATTAATTATTCAATATTAATACCACAAATCAATATAAAAATAATATAGTTCTAAACAAACACATAAACATTTCACTAAACTGCACTCCCATTTTATTACTTACAATGAATTCCTAACCTCTCTGACCTTCAAGGGACGTATGAGTTTATTTAGAGGCTGCAGAGACAATGAACTCAATTTTAACAGCTTATATTTTACTATCGCTGTCATACATAAAACAAGCTTTCAAATAGTCAGTACCATTAGAGATGCCATTTGCATAAAAAGTGGCGTAGTCATTTTTTGGCAAATGACTGATTTCGCTGTGAAGGAGCAGCTAATGGGTTAACTTGGTTTAATTTCAATTTGCCAATTTTCTGGAGCTTTTTTGTTGATCGGTTCCAAACACTGCGAGGGAGGAATATGAAGGGAAGAAAGCTCTGAACGACAGAGGCTCCCCGCATTAAGCTGAAAGACAGGCTGCAGCTCTCGCCCACAGTGCCTCTGACTTCAGTGCTTTTCCAGGTAATGAAGCCCCCGATGTGCTAATGATCGTGTCTTCTGAATAAAATAACACATGGCATTAAAATAACAGGAAAAAGGGCTGTTTTTTCTGGCTTAGTGAGAATGTGACTGTGGTGCTGATGTCCCAGACTAGTTCATCCTACAAAGGATGTGGAGTGCTCTCAGGGTGTAAACGTAGGACTTTCTGGACACCAGCCTATAGCTCCAGCAATGATTTAATGATGCCACAGTTAAAGCTTTAGTGTCCCTGCCATGTCCAAAGGAAGCAGGGCAGCTTTAAATAAGAGATGGAGGACACAAGGCAAAGGATTTCCGGTTTGACCTATATAGGCCGACCTTTTTACTTTAGACCCATGCAGCGTGACACTACAAAGGGATGGTGGACATTCATACTGTGAGTGGGCTGCGTTTGCATGAACCATAACATTGTGTGTCATAAATAAGGACTGACTGATTCACATCCGAGCCTACATCTCCGGAAGAGCCACGATATGATAAATGATAATGAATTCCAATCAAAGAACAAGAGGGAAATAAAGGAAAGCTGAGAGGAGGACTGCATGATGAATTAAGAATCAGATATAACGAACAGGAAAGTGGAAGGTAACAAATAGACCGTGTTTTTAGGTGTGATTTCTGCACATGATCCATACATCAGCTGTAATCCCTTAAACCCCTGTAGTCGTTTCAAACCACATCTGTATGTGTCACATGACTAGCACCACCGGCACCACATTAACCCGCATAATATTTGTGGTTAATTCAACAAGTCAAAGCTGAATCGAGCTGACCACCTATAGCTGGCTGTGTTTGCTCTAAGCTTTAGCCATCTGTGTGCATAAGATATTAAAACCTCTCACATGGCTGAGATGTTTGTCTTTCAGCAGTATATTCGCTGTAATAATTCAAACACCAGCTGGATCCTCTCTGAATCTGGTACCAGGCTGTGAGGGGGAGTAGTAGCTTCCAGTTAATGCTACATGTGGTAACACTGGTTTTCTCTTTAGTTCTCAGCATAATCAACAAAACTACTGCATGAAGGTTCTTTTGAATTGAAACTGAGCCAATGGCTCTTTTCTGATGGAATAGGCATTTTCACAACATGATCAACAGATTAGCAAGAAAACATGTAAAAAGTCATAAATATGGATTTAAACCAATACCTGGTTAGATTTATGAGCAGATTTACAAAGTGAATAAAAGAAAGTAGAAAGTTATTCTGGAAATCATTTAATTTCTGAGTAAAAGATTGTGACAAATAAATCTAAAAAATAGGTAAATATGAATGTCAGAGTAATTTTGTGTTTCTGTTTCAGAAATCGATTATTCCAGCTGTTATTTTTTCTTTGTAAATATAGAGCAGAACCATACAAATATTAGAGATTATACAAAAATGTACCTTGAAGCATTTGTGAAAACGAAGTGGGTACGATCAACGAGTCTAATTCTACAATAGCAATTCTGTGCTTGTTTGTTTAACCCTCTGTCCAGATTCTGCTGATAGTGGTCATGGTTGAAATGCTGTTCCGCTTGTAGCTGAGACTATACACTCAGCACCAGTCCTTAAAATGCTCATATATCATTCTGACAAGCACAAAAAAAATGGGAGCTTGAAGTTTTTCTTTTCTGCTTCCTCAAGGGCCGGGATGTGAAAATAGAGATTTTCAATCCGATTGGATGATATTATGCTCTGCAATGAATCATGATCAATATTAATTTGTGATAAAGAGAGTGAAAACGATCCATTTATAGCAGATATAGACATGATCTTACCACACATCTGCTGTGAATGTGTCCTTAGCTCTGGAATACAAATGATCATGGACTCAAAGTTAGTGTGAGTGTGTTGTGGTGAGGATCTTTTAACTGTTATATAAACTATAATCAGGAGTGTGGGGAGTGCTCTGAATACAGCATCACATTAAACCTGTTGATCAACTGACTCCACTTCTTTTAGTGCCAGTGCAACACTGCCTGAATACCAATACTTCAACAATAATTTGTTGAAATCTTACTTCAAGTACTGACAAATGTTTATTCAAAAGGTTTTTATTTAATAAAAGCAGCCAAATCTCTCAGAAATCGAATCTCTGCGCTGAGATTTGGTTACAGAAGCACTTTGGTCGGCACTCGGATACTGACATTTTCCATCCCAACTCAAAAGTGAAAAAAGAATTTCAAAGAGACTGTGCCAGGACAGTTGTGGTTAACTGATCCTGACACTGTGTGACTGTGTCTTTACTTATAACAGTGCTGCTTGATCTTAGGGTGAAAACAAAGATAATTTGGGAAGTTCATATTTTACAACTTTTGCAAGATATGAGCATAAACCATGATATTGAAAAACATTCTCCCTCCTGTTTGCTGCTGTTGACGGTTTGCTCAGGAGGATTTCTCGCTGTTGCATCAGAGTTTAGGAAGTGGCAGCTCTTATCCAGGACGTGCAGGGGTTCTGGACTCCTTGCACTGGTTGATAGGTTGTGTAAAACTGCCCAGGAGGATTTAAGAGTATATCCCTCTTCTGGAATCGACTGCTGATGTCTGTATTTTACATTTAAAAGACTGTGTTCGCAAATTCAGTTTAAGAGACGATGTAGAGCCTGTGCCGAAACAATTTCATGGACCAGTTAGCGACAATCAAGCTTCAATCAAGCCCACGCCACAGCAACATATAATGACTGTTTGGATAAAAACACATGACTTAATATAATTTGAGTGGAATGCACTGTTTTATTATAATAACACTACCAGCTAACAAAATAGTTTTAATATATAAACATAGGGCCCAGGTTGAAAAATACCAGAATCTCCCTTTAAAAATAAACATCAGCTATGAAATGTGACCCGTGAAAAGAAGTGATTTGGTTTCAGTTAAATCAGAACATATTGTATCATAATAGATGAAATCTGAAATATATGAAAAGATAGGATGTGTCTGCAGAGAAGTGCACAAAACTGCAGTTCAGCACCTTTCTGTCATACACACACAAACACATTCACAGACACAAATCTGCTGCACAATTACAAAAGACGTGATCATTTGCACTGATGAAACAAATGTAATTAAGACAGAAACCCAAAAGAAACTCAAGAATGAAATGGTGGATAGAGGATGTTTTAATTATCTAGAATGGGCTAATGCATATTAGTGATTAGCCGACCATTAATCTCTGGTGCTGACCATACTGATGCTGAATTATGCATCTGTGTGTGTGTGTGTGTGTGTGCGTGTGTGTGTTCTGCAGTTCTGCAGTTCTAGCTGGTACTTGTTATGTGGATCCTGGGCTTTCTGTTACATCCACTCCCATGAGCACAGCAGCGCCTCAGGCAGGGCAACGATCACTCTGCATACTGGGTATGAAGGTCTCATCATGCAGCAGGAACTCCAAATCCTGGCACTCAGACTCCACAATACTTTTGTTTTTCAGTTTTACCTGCTACTTTTCTTATTCTCACCTGGAAGCCGAGGTGCAAACCGTGGCCTCTGAGGCTGACGTGAAAGATTTCTCTGCCTATAGCTGCATGTAACTTCGGATGTGATGTGAATGTGGCGTTAGCAAAGAGGCCCAACATTATTAGGCAAAGGAGTAAATGCTTGTACTGAGATTCTGGAGAAAAGCAGCTATGACCAACTAGTCAGAAAGCCTGAACTTTCATTTTTGTGGTAAAAATGACAAAGACGAGGTTTCGGTTGTCAAACAGTCACAAAACCTACTTGGTTAGGTTTAGGAAGGGATCACAGTGTGAATTGATCTTCATCATCATGGTCACTATGATAATCGTGTTTAAGATTGTTTTTAATTGTGAATAAAAGAAATGTTGATTGTTGGTGTCACGCAGGAGAAGAAAAATGGTCTTTTGAAGTTCTCTGTTCTGACTAAGACCCATCCATCCACCCCAGCCTCCTGCTGCTCCTGCTA